AGGGTGGTTCATGCACATGTGGCTGCAGTATTTATAGGATGCAGTAGCCATGCCACCGCATACCTATGAATGTTCACGGCTCCCTCCCCTTCATCAGGGATCGTTGCACGTGGCGTGATAGTCGAAGTGCTTTCCAAGGTCGAACGTGATGCGCTTAGAGAACTCAAGGCCGACAAAGACCTCTTACTCGTGCCAGCGGACAAGGGGCGCTCCACGGTTGTGCTGGACAGGACAGACTACCTTCAAAAAGTCAAAGGTTTACTGGAAGACCGACAGTTCTATGTCCCATGTGCAACGAACCCTTTAAAGGCGCTGACACGCGAAATTAATGCTACGTTGTTGGCCTTGGAGAACTCAGGTGCAATAACACCGACCGACAGACGCATGGCGAGACCCCAAGATACGGCTTTGGCCCGATTCTATGGCCTCCCTAAGGTGCACAAAGACGGCACTCCTGTCCAATTCATCGTGTCGCTCAAAGGGACTCCAACGCACGGACTGGCTAAGTGGCTGTTCCGGCGTCTCAAGTTCCTGACCGCTGAGTCAGACACCACGGTCTCTTCGTCAGCACAATTCCTGGAGAAACTCAAAGGGGTAAGCCTCCATCCAAATGAGGTTATGGTATCTTTTGATGTTACATCCCTTTTTACTTCTATTCCCCAGGACCTGGCGATCGAGACAATCGAGCTGCTACTACAAAGCAAATACGATGAAACGGAGAACCGTCTTGGACGCGCCCAAGTTCTTCAGCTCTCGAAGCTCTGTCTCAGGACGTACTTCACGTTCGACGGGACAATCTACGAACAGGTGAAGGGCACACCAATGGGTTCGCAGAGTTCGGGATTCATCGCCGAAGCGGTCCTGCAACGGTTAGAGTCGTTGGTTTTCCAACACCACAGACCGAAATTCTGGGCCCGGTATGTGGATGATACCTTCGTCGTCATCGAACGGGATCAGGTGTTGACATTCCAAGAACATCTCAACGCCGCCTTCCCGGACATTCAATTTACGATGGAGGAGGAAGAGAACAACCAGCTGGCCTTCCTGGATGTCCTCGTATGCCGCAAGGATTGTGGTGGACTAAAGACCAAAGTGTTCAGGAAAGCGACAGATACGACGCAAGTACTGAACTTCAACAGTAACCACCCAATCAGCCACAAACGCAGTTGTGTAAGGACGCTCTATCGGCGTGTCGAAACGCACTGCACTGAGCCGGAAGACAAAATTGCTGAACTACAATACCTCCGACGGGTACTCAAAGCCAATGGCTAGCCGCGCAACTTCGTCGACCGGTGCATACGCAAAAGGGACGAAAGGCCTAACCGCACGGACACCAAGTCTTGGCGGGCACTTCCGTATGTCAAGAACGTTTCGGAAGCTGTCGGCCGCCTTCTCGCACCGCTGGGGGTTGGAGTGTCACACAGACCGGAGGCAACCATCAGGCGTCTGATCATGAAACCGAAAGACCCACTGCCACGGCTAGAAACGTCTGGAGTCGTTTATTGGATCTGGTGCAGTTGCGGACAAAGCAACTACGTCGGAGAAAGCGGAAGACAGCTCCGAACGCGAATGGCCGAACACGCGGCAGCGGTGCGCAGAGATGACGCCAGCTCTCAAGTTGCGGCTCATTCGACGGGTTCCGGCCACAAATTAAAATTTGACGAGGCCGAAATTCTCGCAAGAGGTGACAACCGCGTGAGCCGGGAGCTGCTTGAGTCATGGTTCACTGGCCCCCAGTCTATTAACAAGTGCAATGGTTTTCCCATTCAATACAGCGTGCTGAGACTCCGTCTAGGCGGAGAAATTGGCCACGCGGGGAGCGCCCTGATGAACACTCTTCCCAACACCCTGGTCAGCGTGTCAGATAGTCCAGCAATCATCACGCCAACATCCAACGCATGTGATGAAATTGCAGAAATTAACGACACGAATTTCGACCATCACGCCACGTGCAACGATCCCTGATGAAGGGGAGGGAGCCGTGAACATTCATAGGTATGCGGTGGCATGGCTACTGCATCCTATAAATTCTGCAGCCACATGTGCATGAACCACCCTTATCTGCTTATGTCTCTGATGATGGATTCGAGCAGGAATCCGAAACGTCAGGCTAATAAAGCTCTTGTCCCGGCGATCGTGTCTTCTTCTTCTTCAATATTCCTACCACCTTCTATATATTACCTGGATATAATAAAGTATGTAAAGTTCTTCTTTATCTGGTCCTCTCTTCCGGTATCGGATTTGCCTCCAGGACTATTTCCTATAATGGGTTGTTCGCCATCCCATCTGGAAGATTTTTCATCAGCGCTTGTGATGTATGAAGATGATGAAAGAATAAGGCGATAAATAGTGAATGTTTGGTTGTGACGACCGAAGACGTGTATTCAGCATTCGTGTTGGTGAGTGTTATCGTCTGTCTAATGCCATCAATGCTGTCCAATGGGATTGGAGCGCAGTCATACTGCCAATCAAAAGCGAAGTCATGTTTCCGAAGCCCTATAAAAGCACAAAATACAAAATGAAACCCTGCAAATTTGGCTCTCTATGATTGTAGGCATTTAGATCCTGCTTACACATCTGCTGCAACTTGTATTTCTTTTGTAAGACGTTTTTGTTCACTTATTCCCTCTTGATATATTTGGTATCTTTACTGCTGGAATTGACTTTCATGATTCTCATTGTACTAAGCTTTTCTGTACCAGAATAGAAGAATGTTCTTGCATGGCTCCAAGAGGACCATCACTGATAACACAGCACTGGCATCTGACTAGCCCTCCATTTGGCTGATTTCGCGCGCCTAGGCGTCTGGCTGTCTTTGGCCTCCACGACGAACTGGGTCACAGATGCGCTAGACCACGCTAAGGATCATGTTGGCTTGCGACAGGCGTTAGTCAGGTTGTGCGGACTCCTCCTGTGTCCGGAACTAATGCTGTAGATGGGTGGGGACGGTGTGATGGTGCGTCTAGACGTAGGATTCACTTTGCGTCACCAAACGGTGAGCTACCGTCAAAGTGTCGTCATCACCTCTGATTGTAGCACCCTAGATGACTGTATAGATGTGCATGAAGCTCGGACGTAGAGTCAATACCGTTGGGTTTTGGCGTCTTTCTGGCCGTGTTGCAGGAAATATCGCCTCATTTGGGCTCTTGCTATGTCAGATATGGGCACACAAAAGCAGGAGTATAGGCCTTGTGGGAGAACAAGAGCAGTGGATGTTGTCCCAATGTGGTATGATCTTCTAGGGATTCGTTTTGTGGGAGCTCGGATGGTAGATCTTATAATGCCGGATGACTTCTCAATATGCCCTTTTAGGTTGTACTGCTGAATAAAGTCATCTAATGTGAGAGTGTACGCAAGGATAGAAACCCTCCCTCGATCTCCGTTTCAGAAGTTCGACTTCTAGAAGCGTGCACTTCAGCCTGTTGAAGATCGTTATTAGTTGATGCTCTTTGGCGATCGCCGGCGTATAATCTACAAACGCTCCATGCGTATGGAGGCAGGGAGAGAAGGGGCGGGAATGACACTGGTGGATTTCCAGGGTGTAAGGAAGGATGGGACTAAGCAACTCCTGGATGATTATATTTAATAATGATCGATTTAGGATTGATGTGAGGACCGAGTGAGTCATGCGCACAAACCCTCCTAGTGAGCATGCAAGTCGGCGTGTCAGTGCCTCGAGAAGTTCTCCCACCCCCTTTTGTATTGGATTTGCCAATCAGCCCAGTGTCGTGCGATTAAAGCAGTAGTTTCCTTCGAGTGAGGCCAACGGCAATGGGCCACACTGACGGACTTCTGGCTTGTGTTTGTCACTACGAGTAGCCAGACGCGCAGGAGCAAGTAGCACGTGAGATGCAGTAAATGAGGTCAGCCTGCCCTTCTTTTTGACTGGAATTCCTCACTCGAGATGACGTTGTGCGCCACAGGGACACTGGCCACTGACGAGTCAGTTTATGTGCGGTACCTTCGGGATTCGTGGGTAGAAGGCAAGGCGCAGAATTGCCACGTTATCCTTCGCCCAACAGAAGTGCGCACTGTTGCCTGTTCTTAGAGTCGGAGGCAGTTTTCGACAAGGCTGTTGAGGTACCGATAGAGCAGCATAACCTACGCGGATAAGGCGACTTTTATTAGGCAGATACTTCCTACCACGTTAATGAAGGGCCGAATGAAAAAGGACATAATCTCGGCTTCTTCTGTGGACTGGTGGCTGGTCGCTTCCATAAATTAAAATAATCTCACTATCGGAATATGTCTCGGTGACAACTTTTGTGGATTAATCATCTCTCAGTATTTGCACGTCCACTTATATAAGTGGCACCCTCTCCCAGACCCTAAGGCAGCCGCTGTGGATTGCACTTTAAGGCTGGGATGGCACTATTCAGCCCATCATACGCCTCTTCACAATCGATGTCCTTAGTGGTTACAGGGGTGTCATCCGCCTGGCGAAGCCACTTCTGTGACCTTAGAGTACAAACACTGTTCCCTTCTAGTCTTCGTAACTCTGGTAGCAGTCTTCTTATTACCAAGCCCACTGACTTTCACTGATCTTCAAGTTGCGATAGAGGTCATGCAGGCAGCGGCTTGTGATCTCTGATAGGGTTGTATCAACATTTGGTAGACCTCGAAACTCAGGCTGAAACTGCCATAATGTCGCCCTAAACACAACAAGTCTTCTGCACGGTGTGGAGACGGGGACATTGCATGGAAATCGGACAATGAAGCTGAACCACATTCACGTCACAGCCTCTGAAATGTGACAAGGGCGAATTCAGAGGAAGGGCTGAAGAGCACAGAGAACTCAGTAAGAACGGTCGCGCATGCCCTCTGTCTCCGATGAAAAAGCGCAATCGCATCGAGCACAAGTTAAAACTGAGCATCTATTGCTGGTGGTAAAGGCTAATGGTGTCAAAAGATTTAAGGATTGCTGATAGAAGCGAACAGGCGAGTTCCAGGTAGCAGTTCAGAAGATGAAGATGCGATCACTGGAACAAGAATTTTTTTGGCCTGACGTTTCGGATTTTCACTCGAATCCATCATCAGAGACATTTGCAGCTAAAGGTGATGGTGGCTCCAGGAGTGCAGTATTTATAGCACGTGGCTGCCGTGGGACCGTATACGCACTGCAAGTAACAGTCCTCGCAATCACCGCTGGGGTCGTAATCGATGCGGTGGTGCCTTGTCAGTCCGAGTCCGAGTCGTTAATGGCCGTGATTTCGTCATCCGTGCTGGATGCTGGTGTGACGATTGCTCGGTTAACTGGCTCACTGTCACTGTGATAATTGCTCGCCCGCGCCCTTCCCACGTGACTGATTCCCCTGCCCAGGGAAAATCGCAGCACGGAATATGGTACCGGGAGGTCATTGTGCTTGTTGCTGGATTGCGGGCCTGAGAACCATGACTCGAGCAGCTCGCGGCTCACGCGGTTGTCACCTCTTGCGAGGATTTCGGCCTCTTGAAATTTGAAAATATGGCCGGGTCCCGTCGAGTGTGCCGCCACCTGAGAGTTAGCGTCTCCCCGCCTCACTGCTGCTGCGTGCTCGGCAATTCGCGTACGGAGTAATCTCCCAGTATTTCCGACATAGTTGCTTTGTCCACAACTACACCAGATCCGGTAAACGACTCCAGACGTTTCCTGCCGTGGCAGTGGGTCTTTCGGCTTCATGACTCGGCGCCTAATGGTTGCTTCCGGCCTGTGTACAGCCCCAACTCCAAGTGGAGTGAGAAAACGACTGACGGCTTCGGAGACGTTATTCACGTACGGAAGAGCCCGCCAAAATTTGGGGCCGGTTGTATTTGGTCTCTGGTGTCCTTTTCGTATGCACCGGTTGACAAAGTTGCGCGGGCAACCATTGGCTCTCATTACCCGTCGAAGATATTGTAATTCAGCAACCTTGTCTTCCATTTCACTGCAGTGCGTCTCAACGCGCCGGTATAGCGCCCTTACGCAACTGCGTTTATGACTGATTGGGTGGTTGCTATTGAAGTTCAGTATTTGCGTCGTATTTGTCGCTATCCTGAACACTTTGGTTTTTAGGCCACCACAATCTTTGCGGCAGACGAGGACATCCAGGAAGGCCAGCTGATTGTTTTCCTCCTCCTCCTCCATCGTAAATTGAATGTCCGGGAGGACGGCGTTGAGATGGTCTTTGTATGTCAGCACCTGATCCCGTTCGATGACCACGAAGGTGTCATCCACATATCGAGCCCAGAATTTCGGTCTGTGGTGTCGGAAAACCAGCGACTCCAGCCGTTGTAGGACCGCCTCGGCTATGTGTCCAGAGGATGGATGATAGGATCGCCCTCGTTGGTGAGGTTGGTGGCACGTGTTGCCGTGATATGGGTTGTGAAATGAGAGACGAAGAGGTAATGTTGAGATGGCCCTGTTTTTGGAGATGTCAAGCAGGGTCCATCCGCATCCGGAATATCCGTTGATGTGTGTACACAATGGCAGGGCTTTGAGGCGCTGGGGTACCGATAGAGCAGCAGTTAAGGCGGCTTTTCTTAGGCAGACAGTTCATACTGCGTTAATGAAGGGCTGAATGGAAAGAGCTCAGTCACAGTTGTTTCAGTGTACTGTTGGATGATCGTTTCCGTAAATGAAAATAAGCTCAATGTTAGAATATTCTTCGTAGACACCTGTTGGGAATTCACTACCGCTCAGTCTTTGCACACCCGTTTATTGAGGTGGTAGCCCACACCCTGACGCAAACACATTCGATTTAATCTGAAGGCTGGGATGGCACTATTGAGTCCTTGATATGCTTCTTCAGATTTGTTGTCATTCGTGGTTATGAAGGTGTCATCCGGCTGGCAAAGCCATATTCATGACCTTAGAGTGCGCATACTGTCCCCTACTAGTGTTCGTAAATCTGGTAGCAGTCTTCATATCACCAAGCCCACTGTCTTACATTAAACTTCGGCAGACGTCGACACTCGATCTGGAACCACCACAAAGTCGTCCTAAGCATGAACCTGAAGTTGTACACAGTTGTCATTCTGAAGACGCTCGTTAACGGTGTGGAGATGAGAACAATGCATGAAAATCGGGCAAGGAAGCAAGACCACATTCACGCTGTATCCTAAGAAGTGTGACGAGGGCGAATTCGGAGGAAGGGCTGTAGAGCACTGAGACCTAAGCAAGGACGGTCACGCATGGCATCTGTACGCGATGGGAAGTGCGTTCGCATCTAGGAGAAGGTGAATTTCACTAAATATTGCTGATGGTATGGCGTAATGGTGTCAACAGTTTTTAGGATGATAGGATCGTCCTCGCTGGTTAGATTAATGACAGTAGCGCTGTGAGATGTGTTATGAGCTGAGAGACGAGTTGTTTGTGCTGATATTGCCCTGAGTCTGGATACGCCTAACGAGATCCAGCCATACCGGGAATATCCGTCGGAAGCGTGCACACAATTGCAGGGCTCAACAGCTCTATCCTCGCGCACATGGTAGACACAGACCACCGTGTAAACGTCAGAGAGGCCTTCAGAGCAATTTACAAGGTCCCATCAAGCTATTGAAAACTCCTTGGGCAGCGTTTGTTGGCTACGGTAGAGGCGGCTGCAATCGGGCTACGCGGACCGGTCCTATGCGCACAGAAGAATTTCATACAAATCCCACAGTTGTCATGGTTCAAAGCCATCAAGCCAGCTACCTGCATGTAATTACATTCGCCGGGACCCACCTTCGCCCTGACGCTGACTGGAATTGTGGTGTTTCACTCTCCCCCTCCCCTTCCCAAACCCGAGCTACAGCATAATTGTCTAGTTGCCTGTATCTTTTAATTCATTACCTCAATAGCCATATAAATGTACAGGCCTGAAGTGAATTTATCGAAAGCAGACGTATGCTCGCCAAACTGCCTTTCGAATTTTACAATGGGAATTTTCGCAACTCTAAAACAGTCCAAAGATGCCGTGGTGTTGAAGGCACTCAATGGGTACCTACGGTTCAGCACCAAGCTTGTGGAGGCGAAAGTACGAGCCAGGTTTATTAGGGAATGCCTCGAGAGTAACCAGTACCCGAACTCCTACTGGAGAGCAATGCGACGGAGTCGTACGGTTATCCCCTGTGATACCTTGAGAAGATACGCCGAAAATGAACTAGAGAGCACGCGTGTGAAGGTGGAAGAGCTGGGGCGTCACGTATGTCAACGGGCAGCCATACTTGATCAACCTGGCGAAGACGAACGACAGGAATTCGAGAATTATGTGCAATCCATTTCTGACAAATGTGGAGAAATCAAGAGGGCTTCCCTTCTTCGGAATATTCATGAGGGCAGACCACAATGTAAGATCCAAGTCAGTACGTACACAATTATTCGTCCATATCTCTCGATAAAACATCGATTGAAGCCTTATCGTTGAGTCCTAAATTTTGCTGTCCTCGCCAGAAACCCGACCGACTGGAGTTAGAAACACAATTCGAGAACCTCTCGAATCAAACACACGATCTTCAGCCAGTTTCGACAGAGAGCGTACAACATCTTAAGTCTACGTTAGTCAATGGCTTTTATCAATACCTGAACAGTCGTCAGAAATATGGGGGCTGGCTGAGGAAGTCACACCTTGAGAAGTGAAAGCAACTCCGGCAGAACGAAGACGTTCTGATAATTAGGCCAGATAAGGCAACTGGCGTTGTTTTAATGGACAGGGTAGACTATATTACAAAAATGCAGTCAATTCTGTCAGATCAGGAAAAGTTCAGAAAGACAAAGAAGGAGAAGGACCGTACGGATGAGAATGAAGCACAATTGACTGACTGCTTGAAAAGACTTCACTCGGATGGTTGCATAAGCGAACACGACATAGAGCGCCTCCGGCCCACCGGTACGCATATATCTCGATTATATGGCTTGCCGATCTGAGGAACTCGCCGTACCATGCAATAGCTAAATGTCTGGCGAAGAAACTTAATACTCTGCAGTATCGAAGTGCAGTGGGTCCGGTCAAGTCTCCTGGACCAGATAGGATCACAGGTGTACTGCAACGTCAACTAGCTGAACGACTTTGTATAATCTTCTAAAAATCGCTGGAATTTGGCAAAAATTCTGGACTCATATAATTTGGCCAACTTCATAACCCTCCACAAGAGAGGATCACGGCCATATCGCACCAACTACCGGCCAGTGAGTTTGAAATGCATTTGCTGCAATTTGATGGAAAATATGGTTAGATACCAGTTACCTCGCCCGAGACATTCCGCTGTCACATCAGTTGAGTTCTGTGATCGTCAACAGATTGCTTCGTGTCGAAATGGCCTCCCATACGGGGCCACGTGGTAGATCCGCACGACCGAAACAAAAGACCATATCGGACTCTGGCAGGCATTATCGGATTTGCACACCATTACAAAGGCCAACAGCTTGGGGTGCGGTGGCAGATCCGGTTGCCAACAGACGTCGCGACCCGAAGCGATCTGTTGACGGTCACAGCGATTCTTCTGTTTCAATCACCTGCTGGTAGTTGAGTCGGTCAGCAAAGAAGTATCATGGTCACATCTTCGCGCACTTTGATGGTCCCGTAGCGTTAAATGTCCCCTCTTCGCTTGGATTCAAACGAACTGTGACCACGACACATGTCGTCCCCATCGTTGTTGTTGCGGTTGATAAGAAAACCTGTGCACTTGTTGTGAGGAAGAGGGGGTGTGGAGTGGGGCGTCAAGGAGCGGGCTCGACCGTGTCATCCACCAGCATCCTTTGGACTCTGTATTGACACCGGATCCATCAGTTCAGGCTAACATGACTCCTGTGAAAATAAATCCTGCCTCACAGACCTGCTTACGTCGCTTGGACATTGATCAGAGACCATGAATGAAGGACGTCCATTAGATGTCATTAACTTCGACTTCAGCAAGGCGTTGGATTGCGCCCCACATTAGCACCTCGTTCAAAAGTTGTCAGCAGAAGGGAAAGAGGAAATATTCCGAACTGGATTCTGGACTTTTTAACTTGTCTTAGACAAGAAGTCACTGCGTGTGGCTACTGCTCTGAATGGGTACCTGTTAGAAGCGGAGTCCCACAGGGTTCAATTCTTGGCCGCTCCTATTCATTATCTGTGTAAAAGATCTAGTGCGGGAAGTGAAGTCGAACATAGCACTCTTTGTATACGATCTGAACCTTTGGAGGTTGATGAAAGATGAAGAAGACGTCAGGATACTACAAGAGGACGTAACAAATCTGCACGCATGTAGCGAGAAATGGTGCATGAAATTCAACGTAAATAATGAGTAGCATTGAATTTAGTGTCAGCAAGTAGAAGAACAAATGCACCCTCACAACAGTATTTTCTGGACAATCAACCAATTAAGACCGTAGATGCGCAAATAGATCTCGGCGTATTTATTAAAGACGATCTAAGCGTCACCACGCAGTGTTCCAAATTCGCAGTGCGGGCAATGTCAGTCATGAGCGCGATACGAAGAACGTTTATTAACTTGAATGTAGAGGTCTTTGACAAGGCATATGGGGCATTTGTGCGGCCGCACCTGGAATATGCGGTACAGGCCTGGCGGCCGTGACTTCGGAAGAATATCGATATCCTTGAAGGTGTACAACGACGCGCCACAAATGCTGTTCATGACCTCAAAAATTTTACGTACGAGCAGCGCATGACGGCCCTGAACCTCTATCCCCTCCACCACAGGCAGGACAAAGGTGACCTCATAGCAACGTTTCAGTTGCTAAGAGGACTTACTCTGGATGTCGACTGGGAAACGCTTTTTGAAATGGCACCAAAGTCTAATCTCAGACGACACGAGTACCAGCTTAAATAGGAATTATGACACACAAATCAATGTTCCTCTTTTTTTCTCGCAGAGGGTCATTCGCCAAATGGAACTATTTTCCGACTTTTACTGTCAATTCCTCTACCGCGAATGTGTTCAAGAGAACTGGATAATCGACTGCTAAAAGGAACACGAACTAGCGGATTACAGAAATGACTATAAACATGCCACTTTAGTGTACTTTAAACCTGACTCGTATGAAAATGTCCACAATGCGAACGCAGTGAACATTTTTTTCGCAATAGAAACGAAGAGACGAGTCCCAGGAAGTAGTCTTGAAGAAGGAGACATGATCGCTGGGAGATGGTCATGGTATCTTTCGATGTTACATGCCTTTTTACCTCTATTCACCAGGACCTGGCGATCGAGACAATCGAGCTGCTACTACCAACCAAATACGACGAAACGGAGAATCGTCTTGGACGCGCCCAAGTCCTTCAGCTCCTGATGTTCTGTATCAGGGCGTACTTCACGTTCGACGGGACAATCTACGAACAGGTGAAGGGCACACCAACATGTGATGGTAAGGAAAATGTGCTTGTTGAGGCTCTTTCAAGAATCTGGATGGCTTACGTCACAACATATGTCATAGAATTCACGCTCATGGCTGAGGCTCGACGATCGGATAACGAACTCTCCCAATCCCGCCACGAGGACTCTTCTTTACGCATTCAAGTTGTCCCCCTTCCCACTGGCACTGGCGCCATAACGGGCGACCTTTCTACCGGACACGAACGTCCTTTTGTCCCAGCAACTTTACGACGACAAGTGTTCAAAGCTCTTCACAATCTTTTCTACCTTGTAGTCCGGGCGACTGTGAACCCCATCACTGACCGATTCGTCTGGCCCAACATCAACCGGGATGTACGGCGTTAGACCCAATCCTGTTTACCATGTCAGCGAGCCAAAACGCATCGTCATACTACTACCCCGCCAGATACCTTCGCTACCCCTGATGCCCGTTTCCATCGTGTACAAACTGACCTGGTAGGTCCGCTTCCACCATATAACGGTTCTGCCTATATGCTGACATGCACTGACCGCTTTACTCGATGGCCGCTAAAGTTTTTTGAACCTTGCAGTTATGTGGAACAGCTGCGTAGTGTCATACGCAATCTCCACGCAACGCCACCTCGGGCGTCCCCGGCTAATTCCTTCATCCATCCCGACCAGGATGCGTGTGATTTCGTCTGGGTTCGGCATGACGCTGTCCGGCGGTCACTCCAATCACCCTACGACGGGCCGTATAAAGTCCTTCGTCGATCTGACAAAGATGTTGTCATCGACCGCAACGGCAAGACCGACACAGTCAGCATTGGTCGCGTAAAGTCGGCCTAAATTGTCGATAGTGACCACTCCTCGCCCCAACACTGTACCCCGCCGCAAACAGTACTGCCTTCACCTACTGGAAACAGCCCGCCTCCGTTTCGCCGCACACGATCTGGCCGTCACGTCTACTGGCCCGACAGGTTTGTGGCTGGCTAGCGTGTGGACGCCTTCACTTTGTTTGGTGTCTGGGGCGGAGTTTTAGCAGCCGCTCCAGCCACCCTTATCTCCGGCTCCGTTTTGTCGGCCGATGGCCGCGACAATCGTTGACAGGCCACTGACACACGACCAACCCCGCCGGCTAGAACTGGGGCCCCTCCTGTCCAGCAGTAGTGACTCCCGGCTGCCCTGACAAACTATTATCACCTCACGCGCGTCTGACGACCTGGCTGGATACCCGTGAGCCACTCCGTCAAATTTCATGGCCAGCACTCAACCAGTCACCCCTACCTACTGACACAGACATTCACCCCCGGCGTAAACAACACACCGCGACTGACACTCTCCGTGAACGGAAGCTTCTCTCTGTCGCAAGCAACCTGCCCTCTGTACAGAATAAACTTGAACACGATCGCCTGGACAAGAGCTTTATAACCTGACGTTTCGGATTCCTAGTCGAATCCATCCTCAGAGACAAAAGAGCAGAAACGGGTGGTTGTTGCACAAGGGGCTGCGTATTTATAGGATGCAGCAGCCATGCTACCGCATACCTATGAACGTTCACGGCTCCCCCCCTTCATCCGGGATTGTCGCATTTGGTGTGATCATTGCTTGATGGCCGACATTCGAGTCGATAATTGCTGCAATTTCATCACGTGCGTTGGATGTTGGCGTGATGATTGCTCGACCATCTGACGCATCGACCCCGGTGTTGGGAAGAGTGTTCACCAGTGCGCTCCCCGCATGGCTTGTTACCCCGCCTAGGCGAAGTTTCAGTACGGAGTATGGAATGGGAAGATCGTTGCACTTGTTGATGGACTGGTGGCCAGTAAACCATGATTCCAGTAGCTCTCGGCTCACTCGGTTGTCACCTCTTGCGAGAATTTCGGCCTCATCGAATTTAAATGTGTGGCCGGAACCCGTCGAATGAGCCGCAACTTGAGAGCTGCCGTCATTTCTCCGCACTGCTGCAGCGTGTTCGGCCATTCGCGTTCGGAGCTGTCTTCCGGTTTCTCCGACGTAGTTGTTTTGTCCGCAACTGCACCAGATCCGATAAACGACTCCAGACGTTTCTAGTCGTGGCAGTGGGTCTTTCGGTTTCATGATCAGACGCCTGATATTTGCCTCCGGTCTGTGCGCCACTCCAACCCCAAGTGGTGCGAGAAGGCGGCCGACAGCTTCCAAAACGTTCTTGACATACGGAAGTGCCCGCCAAGACTTGGTGTCTGTGCGGTAAGGCCTTTCGTCCCTTTTGCGTATGCACCGGTCGACGAAGTTGCGCGGCTAGCCATTGGCTTTGAAGACCCGTCGGAGGTATTGTAGTTCAGCAATTTTGTCTTCCGGCTCACTGCAGTGCGTTTCGACACGCCGATAGAGCGTCCTTACACAACTGCGTTTGTGGCTGATTGGGTGGTTACTGTTAAAGTTCAGTACTTGCATCGAATTTGTCGCTTTCCTGAACACTTTGGTCTTTAGTCCACCACAATCCTTGCGGCATAGGAGGACATCCAGGAAGGCCAGCTGGTTGTTCTCTTCCTCCACCATCGTAAATTGAATGTCCGGGAGGACGGCGTTGAGATGTTCTTGGAATGTCAACACCTGATCCCGTTGGATGACGACGAAGGTATCATCCCCATACCGGGCCCAGAATTTCGGTCTGTGGTGTTGGAAGACCAGCGACTCTAACCGTTGCAGGACCGCCTAGGCGATGAATCCCGAAATCGGCGAACCCATTGATGTGCCCTTCACCTGTTCGTAGATTGTCCCGTCGAACGTGAAGTACGTCCTGAGACAGAGCTTCAGGAGCTGAGGGATTTGGGCGTGTCCAAGACGGTTCTCCGTTTCATCGTATTTGCTTTGTAGTAGCAGCTCAATTGTCTCGATCGCCAGGTCCTGGGGAATAGAAGTAAAAAGGGATATAACATCAAAAGATACCATGACCTCATTTGGATGGATGCTTACCCCTTTGAGTTTCTCCAGGAATTGTGCTGACGAAGAGACCGTGGTGTCTGACTCAGCGGTCAGGAACTTGAGACGCCGGAACAGCCACTTAGCCAGTCCGTACGTTGGAGTCCCTTTGAGCGACGCGATGGGTCGGAGAGGAGCGTCCTCTTTGTGCACCTTAGGGAGGCCATAGAATCGGGCCAAAGCCGTATATTGGGGTCTCGCCATGCGTCTGTCGGTCGGTGTTATTGCACCTGAGTTCTCCAAGGCCAACAACGTAGCATTAATTTCGCGTGTCAGCGCCTTTAAAGGGCTCGTTGCACATGGGACATAGAACTGTCGGTCCTCCAGTAAACCTTTGGCTTTTTGAAGGTAGTTTGTCCTTTCCCGTACAACTGTGGCGCGTCCTTTGTCCGCTGGCACGATGACCAGGTCTTTGTCGGCCTTGAGTTCTCTAAGCGCATCACGTTCGACCTTGGAAAGCAGTCCCCGCGGCCTGTGGGCCATCAGGAGAGACGACACTTGGTGTCGGATGAGATTCTTAGTCTCCTCCGTTGCCTCCGTCTGACAAAGGATTGATTCCACTGCTGCAATCATGTTAACAGGTTTGGCGTCAGCCGTGTTAAATGAAGCTTCGTGCCATAAAACCTGCATCTGATCCTTCGTCAGCTCCTTTGATGACAGGTTGTGCACCCGTTTGTCATTTCTGGGCTAGGTTGGATTGGGCAGCTTTCGAAATTTGTTCTCCAGTGCTGCGTCGCTTATCGTGCTCTGTTCGCGGGCTTGTTCAGCTATCCTCCGCCGGAGCAGATTCGTACCGATTTCACCCATGAACTCACAGCATCTGGTCTTTTCTTGGTCAATCCTTTGACGGTACTTACGAAGTCTCGGGTGGCAATCTTGGAGGAGCACTCCGAGCATCCTTCTGCCGTGCTGAAATACTGCTCGTCTCGCCAAATCCGTGTTAACCGGTGGCTTGTATGAAACACATTTCGGTAACACATTATTGTCGATACACCTGTGCAGAAATCGGATCTGCGAATACGTAGAGGCCTCCCGAAGGGCGAAGGTTTCCCATCGCCGGGCCGATCGGAGCGCATCGCGCCCAAATACATTGCCAATAGAAGCGAAGAGCCGAGTCCCAGGAAGTAGTCTTGAAGAAGGAGACACGATCGCAGGGCGGTGGAGTGAAGAAGGTTCTGCCGTGTACACAAATGTGTCTCCACGGTGGCTTTCTCATCTGATTCCTGCGGTTACTGCGGTCGGTGGATTAATTCATGTTGAAATTAATGTGGTGGACAGGCCAATTCGACAGAACAAAATTCAACTCACACGGTGACTGCTTACCTAGTGGTCTCCTGTGAAATTACAGCCGCAACCTTGGAGATGATGAGGAGGAGGCGGTGGTTGATCCAACTATCGGCGGCGCAGATTGCTTTTGTCACCGTCGCACATCCTGTGAATCACGCTTCCGGATGAGGGCATAGTTCAGAAGCCGTCAGCACGACAATGGGGCGTATATACTGGTCGCTTTCTGCCGCGTTGGCAGACGAAAGGAGGTGTTCGTCAGGAGGAGGTGGTGTTCTGTGCAGATTCCCAGCAGAAGGGGCCATTCTCGTTGAAGCCGGCGAGTCCATGGGGATACAGCACTCGCCTCACGCCCGTGTGCACCTTCCCGAATCGGGCGTGGAAGTTGGCAAGGTCAAAGAGCTTGTTCGCCTCCGGCATGGTTGCCAGGATTGCATGCAGAGCGTCGTGAATGTTGGTCTTCGCCTCGTCGGAGCTGGTAATGGGGACGACGTAGGCACTCATGATGGGAGCGAGGATAGCTTCCCGAAGAGGAAGTTGATGGGGCATGAGACGGCTTTGAAGTCCTGCGGCAGACATAACCATCTTTGACAATGATGTTCTTTAGATCAAAGGCAACGCCAGCATCGCCTTTCGCTGTCTTTCGGCCGCAACTCCAGAATAAAATGTAGACGGCGGACACATCATCCAGTTGGCTTTGTTTGGAGAAGCAGGCGCGCTTGGAGCAGCCATGTCCACCTTGTATTGCTTTACCCACCACCCATGCATGGGTGTTCCCACCTGGACACCACTCTGTCCCGGAGTGGGAGACCTCGGAGTTTGACTGTGGTGATAAAATAAAAAAAAGACTTTAAGGACGATGGGGATGATACTTGCACATGGCCATTTTGTTGCTCCCAGAAGCCACCTGATTCTGACCAGACGGCCAGCTCACTGAGTGCGGTAGCAGAACGATCGAGCAAAATGTGTATTTAGGCCAATGCAGGATGTGATTGCAGTGAGGTCGGGATTGAGACCAAATTTCTGACGGTGGGGGCGATGGTCGTGGATGACAGGGTGTCAGATGTGTTTTTGTCAGTGGTGGCAGTGGGAGTGTACCGAATGTCCGACGTGGCCGGTAATCGCTCGAATGTCTATTGACAGCGTGAGCACATTGGGAGGTTTGGGTGTTTTGCGTTGTAGATCGGGGCACTTGAGACCTGCAAATCGCTATTCAACCCTTGACATCTACGGACCGTTGGACTTTGCAGATGGAGTTCCAGTCTTGACTGTTCATTTCTGGGCCTGTCAGTCCTGATCGAGGTCCTCCCAGGTCTCGCGGCTGATTTGCAGTTGGTTAATAGAGACTGTCACACGACGTATGTGCAGTGCCGTTGTTGTTCTCCCTGTGACCAGGCACATCATCGTATGGTCGATGAAAAAGTCACTGGTCATCCATTCTTGTAAGTAGGCTGCTAACTCACATTTGTGATTGCCTCAGTATGGCATGGATGCTGATGATTCCGATTCTTTCAGGAACCTTGCTTCCGGAATCCTGTCTTTGGATCGCAATTCCGAAATTTTCCGGAGGAAACTGTGGTGGGTTTGGTTGGACCTCCCCCCCAACTCTTTCTCCTTGATCTCCCAGATTCTCGTCCTCTACAGCAGCCTTCTTAAGGAAACAGCTGTGTATGTGTTGAGGTTGGTGTTTAGCTGGAGACGATGACGATTGAACACAGAGTCCGGCAGTCAGCCAAAGGCCCGATTCACATTGAAGTTTCGGCGTACAACTTCATCGTAGATTTTGGCTTCGCATGTGAGCGTGCTGTCTGCGTGGGCGAAGTTTTCCATGGTCTTCAGTTTGGTGAGGTTGACGCTGATGCGAGGGACGCACAGTGCGTGACCGGTCTCATGAGTTGTTGGTCAAAATTCTGAAATTCGTTTTCGATTAGGAAAGATTACTTAAATGGAGTTGCGATATTGATTGGCATGCGGCATAATCCTATAGCATTTCGGACTCGCCAGGATGTCGGCTTTGGGATTCACTTCTTTTTGACCTGCAGAAACCGTACTCGGCAAAAAATACTACTTAAGTAGCATGCACTTTTCCAATGGATTTTCGATGGTCTTATAAATTCAGATAAATTTTATAGAAAACGTGCACAAAAATAAGCTTACTTTTACTCATTTGGTAGAAAATGACATTTTTATTGCATTTTATACACGAAGAAAGTGTATATTTAAGTTTTAAAAGAGTTACCTAATTCCCGAATATTTTTGAGCCTGAGTTGCCATTGCACCAGTGTTCAGCGATTTCAGTCAACAAGTTGCATGCTTTCCGCGTAAGGAAAATCATATATTCCATCATGCCTTTAAGAAGATACCACATAAAGTTCATAAAATTTCGCAATGGATCCGAACTGTGTTGTACATTTCATGAGCAGCAGTGGTAAACGGACATGTGCGGTCCTGTATGCGTGGACACCGCACGATCTTAAAAATCTCACAATTAGAATCTTTTTAAAAACCTGAATATACACTTTCTTCGTGTATAAAATGCAAAAACAATGTTGTTTTCTACCAAATGAATGAAAGTAAGCTTATTTTTGTGCACGTTTTCTATAAAATTAATGCAGGTTACACCGTATTGTCCATGCAGATGTTCAGACCGAAGAGTGCGCATTCCGCGGCTGTTAGGACATAAGTAGGTCAAAGTTATTTTTAGAACTTCCCATCGATTGTGACGTCACAGCATCTGTGGGAGGGGGGCGTTCCATGGTTTAACAACTCTGACAGCGACGGGAACTCCCGCACACCCAGACTTGCCTGCTGAATGTGCAGTTTTAGTGGGTGACCTCGGAGTTTGACTACGTTAGTAAATTCAAAAAAGACCCTAAAGAGGAGGCTCCAATTCAATCTCATCGGAATGCGCAGTACTTGTAAGAGGTAGTCGAAATGGTATGGTCGACAAGACAAAAATCCCAAATCAGAAGTCAGGGAAGGCAAATTAGGCTGGACAAATTTTACTGCTGAGGAAGAGCGTACACAAAGGCTCTGCAGCCAGTCGCTAAAGAGCTGTCTCCCCAGGCAGATTGTGTTGTCTACGTCCGCCTTCGAGGTGCTCGGACTCAGCGCGTGTGTGCGCCTTTCGTTGTCTCAGCGGCCGCCAGCCAATCAGAGACGGGACAGCGTTGATTGGCCTCGAGCGCCGCTCGCGAGGCTAGTGACAAGCCTCGCGCGTCCCAGCAGCGACTCGATGGGGCGTGTGAGGCGGACAGGAGGGCAGCGTGACAAGGCGACGGAGAGTTAGGAGGCAAGGACTGCCACAGTACCCAATGGCTAGACGGAAGGTGGCGTGTAGCGACACCGAAGTTATTGTTCAGGTCTAAAAAAACATGAGTAACCAAACGGTCATGAAAATGAACATGACGTTCACTACGGGTTACATATACAGGGGACACAGATGAGGAGTGGCGATGGCCTGCGGTTACAGCGTAGAAGGTTCGTGAGGGGATAGTTGCAGTTGGGATTCGTGGTCGTGGGAACAGACGAAGTGTACGGGACGGAGGAATAGAGGGACGGAGAGGTGGAGCAAGAAGTAAGGGACCACAGGGCTCATCCGGAGGAGTGTCCGGGACGGCAGCTTTGAGTCGGCTCACGTTCACGACCTCCTAATGAGTTCCGCGTTGGATGCGGAAGTTCTCGACCCATGAGATATAACTCTGGAGGGGCCGTCGCAGGGTGGTTCCAGTGGCAGGCGGACTCAATTACATTGGAGATGAGCGTGAGAACATGTGGCCAATTCTTTATCGAGGTAAGACTTAGAGACAGATGGCTTGGGCGGATCTGGGGAAAGCGTCAGAATAAATTGCCGGAAACGGTGTAGGAAGCTGGGAGGATCCTGAATTGTAACTCGCGGGTTTAACGAGATCATCTGACCGGAAGTCGGACGTTGACACCGCACACGAGTTCAACAGCGGAACAGTCAAGGTCCGATTTGAGGGAAGAGTGAATGCCGAACAGGACCAGGGGTATATGGTCCATCCAGTTCTCCAGACCATCTACGGCGCGTAAGGAGGCCTTCAGCTGACGGTGAAACCGCTCAAGCATCCCGTTGGCTGCCGGGTGGTAGGCCGCAGTGCGGGTGCGAGGACAGTGTAGAAAGGAGAGAAGAAACTGAAAAAGTTTAGATTCAAGTCGTGTACCACGGTCAGTCATGAGGATGGCAAGCCGAAGACTGAGGAAGGCCTTGACCACCGTTGGAGCAGCAATGTCAGGAAGAGGAATAGCTTCAGGCCCCCGGGTAAATCGACACACACTGGTGAGGCAATCGGAACAGCCATCGGACAGAGGCAGGAGGCCTACGATATCCTGATTGACATGACTGAACCGTGCATCCGGAGTGGGAGGGGGTGCCGATGGGATCTTTGTTGTGCCGTTGGAGCTTACTCCGCAGACATTCGAGACACCCCCGTGTCCATGCTCTGAATTCCTTTTGCATCCGAGGCTAGACAAAGCGGAAAGAAACCAGTTTGTCGGTGGCTCGACTCCCAGGGTGAGAAAAGTTGTGCAGGGAAGAGAAGAATTTGCGGCCGAGGGATGGCGGAACAAAGGAACGGTTGGAAGTGGTGGAGGCGTTGCATTGAATGGTTCATGGTATCTTTCGATGTCACGTCCATCTTTACTTCTATTCCACAGTATCTGACAGTCGAGATCGTCGGACTACTCTTTCAAAGTAAGTACGACGAAATGGAGAATCGTCCTGGACACATCAACGTCCTCCAGCTTCTGAAGTTCTGTCTCAGGACGTATTTAACGTTTTCCGGAACAACCTACGGGCAGGTGAAGGGAAACCAATGGGTTCGGCAATTTGGGAATTCATAGCTGAGGCTGTCCCACAATGGTCAGGGGAGCTGGTCTTTCAACATTACAGACCCTAATTCCATCCAAAAAGCGTCTCAATAGTGTCTTCCTGGACATATAATTTACGATGCGGGAAGACGAAAACAACCAGCTGGCCCTCCACGATGTCCTTGTCTGCCGCTAATATTGTGGTGGACTAAAGACCGGTGTTCATGAAAGTGACAAATACGACGCAAGTACTGAACTTCAGCAGAGCCCACCAAATCAACCACAAACGCAGCTTCAGGGAACCAAATGACAAGGTTGTCGAATTTCAGTATCTTCGACGGGTGTTCAGAAAAAGTGGCGATGATGTTTGGTCCTGCAGCCCCACTTGACGGATCTCCTAATGTTTGTCCACTGAATCATTTTTAAACTCGTAAAACCCCTTTTAGCACCATTCGCGTATAACAGACGTCCTTGGTTTCTTACTTTTTACTGAGACTGTAGGACTAATCCCAACCAATTTTATAATGACAGAGTATGTAGCAACTTATGCGGAAGTGAAGACCACTGGTCGGAGTTTTGAAGGAAGTTGAGTAACTACACCGCATGACGATATCATAAAGGATTGGCAGAAAGGTTGGAGATGTTCGAATTAACTTTCGGCATGTATGCCAGGATTATTAATTTGCAGTTCATTTGCCGGATTGACCGACTTCATGATTCAACCAATTGTCTCGAGTAAATAGCATGGGGGAGGGAGGGAGGAGGCGTGCTGCTCCAGATGCATTAAGAAGGAACACAGAAATGCCGGATGTACGAAAGCCTTAGCTCGCTCATTACGACACACAATGAGTGGCTTTTAAAACAGAGTTGATGAAGAAAACCAAGACCATTGTCGCCGTTGCAGAAGTTACGTCAACAGGTAGACAGACAGGGTCACAAAATTTAAAAGCTTAAATTTTTCGTTGTCGCCAGGTCGTCGCTAACCAATCACGGTAGTTTGCATAGCGTCATCACCAATCTGCTACACTGCTTCAAGTTGACTTCTCAGAATCAGATTGGTAGAGTTGCGTCCATAAACGCCTGTATGTAGGACATCCACTAGGCCAGTACCTAAACAGCATAGTTTGCAGACTCCATATAACCGTTGTAACTTAGTCATTTCAGAGTCATGAATGCTACGGACACAGTAAGAGAACGTGGAATGTCCGCTTCCGGCCTGAAAGCCGTCGGTAACCAAGTGCGCTCAACAGCCAGTTCAGGAGGACCCAAAGCTCAAAACCGAGCTGAAGGAAATCTACGATGTTCTTCTCGTTAAGCTCTGTATGGACCGAGTTAGGAAATGATGACTTGCGGTTGTATCTGAACATGCAGATCTCACAAACTACAGCAGAAGCGATATCCGTGTTCGGTATTTAATTTAGCCCATTCTGAGGATCATGATGGGCTGAAATGTTTGGCTGTACTACAAGCAGCAGAGATGAAACTATTCGGTCTTATATGAGGTTCTACAGACTAGTCGTCCTTTGTGGTTACAAAGGTGTCATCCGCCTGGCAAATCCACATTTATGATCTTGGAGTGCGAATACTGTCCCCTTCTACTTACGGTTCTGTTATCCGTGAACACAGTGAGGTCCCTGCCCCCAAGAAAGCACCGGAAGTGTTTCACGGTAAGGAAACCAGCTAGCAGCTCTTGTCCGAATGTGCATCGCGGATCTTGGCAGTTGATAAATTCCTAGAGAAGGAGGCTAAGGGTTGAGTGTGATCTGTAAGGTGCTGTTGGAGAACAGCGCCTACTACAACATTGGAAGCGCCAACCATGAGGGAGATGGGAGCATCGGGAGAAAAATGCGTCAGGAGGGTGTCCTCGGCCAGCTCAGCTTTCCCCTTGTCAAAAGCAGCGAGGGAGTCTGCAGACAACTCGAACAAACCGTTGGGACCCGAGACCAGGCTCGTCAGCGGCAGGATGGTGTCGGCGCGGTGCGCAAGGAACCGGCGGTAGAAATTACCCATGCACAGAAATCGCTGCAGCTGACTTTTGGACGAGGGAGGTAGAAAACACGTATAGCCACAACCTGCGATGGAAGACGATGGATGCTGTTGGAATCAACCAGATGTCCGATAAATTCGAGGGAAGACACACCGATGCTCCAGGAGGTCTTCGACAATGCAGCTTGCCACCGAAAGAGCGTCGATATTGGTGTAGACAAGTGGTAGGCCGCAAGGCACTCTGTCTACGAACCTCTGAAAGGTCTGGGAGGTGTTGCGGAGTCCAAACGGCATGTGCAGGGACTCGAGGAGGCCAAAGATGGTGGTGACGACCATCTGTGAAACGTCCTCTTCAGCGATGGAAATTTGGTGGAAGGCGGGGATCAGGTCAATCGTCGAAAACACCCACTTGCCGAATAGGGCATCGACAAAATCCCGAAGATGTGGGACGGAAATATTGTTCAGGGTTCTGTAATCACCGCAGGAGCGTCAGCCACCGGTGGCGACTTTTGGCACCATGTGGAGGGGCGAGGCCCATGGGCTTTCAGATTGACGGATGATGCCCATCTGAAGCATGTGCTCGAACTCGGCATTTGCGGCAGACAGTCGTGCAGGCACGAGACTGCGGGGCTGAGAAATCGGGGGAGGGCCAGTGGTCCGGATGCGATGAACAACATCGTGTGGCGGAATGGGTGTGCTGAAGTTGGGACGAGTGTGACTAGGGTATTTAGCGAAGAGTTGCCGAAATGTATTTTCGGGTTCAGCATCCAGAACGGCAAGTTAACGGAAGTTGTCAGAAGACATTGACACAGGCGCCCTGCCTTCCGTGGCCAACCCCGACCCTAGATGATGATTGCACGTCGTCCCAACCTCCTGATGGCAGTGATGTGTGCTCAATGTACCCGTCTTACACACATCACTTACAGCCTGTGTCGCCTCCTTCTCTCACCCCCCCGACCCAATGACCGTAACACGCCGACCACGCCCTGCGGGTAGCGTTGGAACAATGAGTGTTATTAGCCCGTGCGTCACTTATAATCCCTGGGAATTTCGTATATTTTCAACTTCAATGAAATTGTTTTGGCCTGATAACGAGTAACCGAAAACACGGGTTTCCAAATTGAATTTCAAATCACATATAATCAGAACCTTCGTTAGAAGAGGATGGATGCCGCTGGAGTCAACCAGATGTCTGAGAAATCCTAAGCAGGGCACACTGAAGACACATTTTGACGGCTTGAGAATAACGCCAAATTGTCGGTTTCGGTCAAACACCGTTGAAGTTGCTCCATGAGTCCGTCGGCAGTAGACTTATCTATCAACAGGTCGTCAATATAGGAGTGAACAAATGGCAGACCGCGAAGCACTCTGTCCACGAACCTTTGGACGGTCTGTGAGACGTTGTGGAGTCCAAACGACGTGCGTAAGAATTCGAAGAGGCCAAAAGGGAAGTGACAGCCGTCTTCGAAACGTCCTCTGGAGCGATGTGGTGAATAGGTATGCTGAAGTTGGGACAAGTGAGACCGGGCTACTTGGCGAAGAGTTGTCGAATTGTATTTTCGGGTTCGGGATCCAGAACGGCAAGTTGACGGAAGGAGCCAGGAGAAGAGATAAGTCGGACGGTGGGGTAGGTGGTCTTGCCGTGTATGTGCTCTGGAAACACTGCGACAGCACGGACATGATACTGGCGGCCTGCCAACCACCAAAGCGGCGGAAATTTGCTCAGCATACGTCGTGTGTAAACGTGCCGAGTGTCTGTCGGGATGGTACTGTCAACAACATAGAGATTCCCAAATCGGCATGCGGGCAAGACGGAGTGGGAAGTACGTGCACAAGAGGCTTTTCAAGCAGTCGCCGTCAGCCGTTTGGGTGGCTTTACCCCAGCGCGTGTGTGCGCCCTTCGTTCTATCTCAGCTGCTGCTGGCCAATCAGAGAAGGTGCCGCGTGCATTGGTTTCAAGCAACTCGCGGGACTAGTGACAAGCCTCGTGTCATCCCAACAGCGAATCGACAGGAAGCATGAGGTGGACGGGAGAGCGGCGTGACAAAGCAGCGGAGAGCGTGGAGGCGCGAACTACTACAAGTTAATTATTACTACCGTACACGTGGAGGGATATGGTGGCACGCTTCTCTGCCACATCAGCTCGGGTGGTCAAGGGAAGCAAGACAGAGAGAGAGAGAGGTCGACACTGGGAATTCAATCTCACGACACACCATCAAATTCCCCACTGTAAGCAACCTGACGCGTTGGCAACTACCAAGGTGAGCCTAAAGTCTTGGCAAGGGGGTGGGGACTGTCGACTGACGGTATAAGTCGGGCCTCGCAGCCAGCACATTACGTGCTTTTGGGTACATGTCATGTCAACAGTGACACTTCCTCAGCAGTAAAGGTTGTACAACCCGACCCGCCTTGACTGACCTCTGATTTGGGAACCTTTGTCCTGTCGACCACACCAATTTTGACTCCCCCCACTTGGAGCGGCGCTTCAATGCTCTAGTTATTTCAGAGGAGGAAAGCGGGCGGTCAAGTTGGGCGTCGGTGCTGGTTGCCACTGGAGGAGGCCTGTGAGTGATATCGTAGGGGAATGCAGGCGGCCGATTGAGGGCGCTTCTGACGTTAGTATAGTAGAGTGTGTATTTTAGGGTTATAGGCAATGCCCTCGATGACCCTATTCAAAACGGCACGTACAATATAAATGTTAAATGCTCAGCTTACTAATATTTTGCCAGTAACATATGTGTTTACGGAAAAGTTTATACAGCGCGGGTGCGGCAGGCAGGCGGCCGATTGAGGGCGCTTCTGACGTGATCTGCCCAATACTGCAGAGTGTTCGATTTATCCGTTAGGAGTGCTAATCCATCGGAACTGAACAGCGAAGCAGTTCCTTCGCTGTGACAGGCGCACCCCTACTTGATTGGTATGAAGAGGTTCGTCATTTCATTGTGGTCCGTGTGCCCTGGCATCTGTCCAGCCCTGGAATTCCCTCAGGCATTCCGCACCCACGTCAGTCGCTGCTGCACAAGGCGTCGCCATCGGACGGAGGTGGTTTTGTTGTGCTCAGCACTGTAGTTGATGCAGGTCGTGCAATCCATTCTACTCGGGAAGCAGATTGTAGACTTCTTCCTTATTGCTGTACCAGATCTGGTACTGACCGTGTGCCGGTCCGAGGACGTCCAGACCGGTGGATTCCGTTTCAGATAGCATGGCCTGTGCCGACGTGGGTATTAAAGTTACCGAAGAAAACCCATTTGTTCACCTTCGATACGGTCATTAGGATGGCGTGTATGTCTTCGTACAACTTGTTATTCATTTCGTCATGATTTGGGATGGAAGGACGGAGGCGCTGACAACGGTGATGACATTATTTTCCCGAAGGTAGGTAGGCACGGTCATGAGACGGTCGTTTATGCCCTGTGGCAGATAAGGCAATCTCCTACAATTTTGTTATTGCAACGGTGACTCCATCACTGCGTTTCTACGTCCACTGCAAAGAAGGTGTTGACGGCACTAAACTACTCCAGTTGTTCATTTTCAGAGAATTGGATCTTTTTGAGTACCTTGATGTCCGCCTTCTAGTGAGCAGTTTATCGAGAGAGCTGCACTATCATCTTTTCCGGACGGTTGTTTGGCGTGTTTTCAAGAAGGAAACGAGTGGCTGCCAGGTTGCGCAGAGTCAATCTGGCAGTCTGTGAGTGCAGCGGAAGTTTTGTCTTCATGGGTTTGTTCGACCGCATATTTTGTGTTTACAAGCCAAAACAAGCTTGCAGGCTCACATTTCCCAGCACAGTACTGTAGCTAGATAAGGCTATTTTGACATTCCAAGCGGCTACTACTACTACTACTACTACTACTACTACTACTACTACTACTACTACTACTACTACTACTACTATTACTAC